TCTCGGAGCACTGCGGGGCCGTCCGCGCGTCCCGAGGGTGCCGAGGTGCGGGGCCCGCCACGCCGGGCTGTCTGGACGGTCGTTCCCGGTGTGTCTCGCCCTCGGTCGGGAGGCTTGAACTCAGGGCCTGGGCGCTGACCCTGAGCTTTTCCACACAAGGCTGGCGATCTCGCCCTCAGCCACAGGGCCACTTCCGGTTTTCTAGTGGCGGTCATCTCACGGACTGGAGTGCGATCCTCAGATCCCCGTTCCTGAGTAGCTAGGATTACAGGTTAAACTCAGGGGCTGCCCGTTGCTTTTCCTCCCCTTTGTGGTGTCAGCCTCGAGGGCGACTTTAAACAAGTCCACCGGGAGAACACTCAGGCCTTCCTTCTCCCGACAGTGCAGAGTGGGGCTGACAGCACGCCCTGGGATGCGCTTAGCATGCCGCAGATGCACAGCGCTCAGACTTCCCAGTCTTTCATGGGACATGGGACAGTTCGACACCGCATTGTTCATGCTTACCTGTTAGTGCAGCTCTGTAGTTCTCTCTTGTGATGTTCTCTTCCTTCTTTCTCTTTTTGCCAGTACTAGGGCTTGAACTCAAACGTCTTGGTGTTGTCCTTGAGCTTTTTTTGTTGTTGTTGTTGTTGAAGGCTAGTCACCCTCTACCACTTGAGCTACAGTTCCACTTTTGGTTTTTTAGTGGTTAATTGAAGAAGAATCTCGTGGACTTTTATCTCTCAGCCTCCTGAGTCAGTCACTAGATTACAGACACGAGCCACCTGTACCCAACCCCGAGTAAAGACTGAGTACCTGTGACATATCATGCACTAGCTCCACCAGAAATGGATCCATACCTTTGTGTGTTTGTGTGCGCGTATGTTGGTACTGGGGCTTGAACTCAGGGTCTAGGCTCTCTCCCTGACCTTCTTTTTGTTCAGGACTATCAAGAGTTCTACCACTTGAGCCACAGCTCCACTTCTAGCTTTTCTTTAGTGATAATTTAGTGGAGATGAGGATCTCACTTCCTGCCTGGGCTGGCTTTGTACCTCAACCCTTAGATCTCAGCCTCCTGAGTAGGATTACAGACATGTGACACTGGCCCTCAGCTCCATAGCCTTGTTTTTGAGGGTGTGTGGTATAACCAGGGGAGACAAGTGGAAAGGTGTGGGTGTGCACACCTTCGCACAGGGCTGGCGTCCTGTCCTGTGCCTGGTGGCACCGTACCACACTTACATGGCTTGTGGACTTATTGAAGGTTGGTGTTCGAGGACGGGACATTGTTGTGCTTGGTGTGGAAAAGAAATCTGTGGCTAAACTACAAGATGAACGAACAGTGCGAAAGATCTGTGCTTTGGATGACAACGTCTGCATGGCTTTTGCAGGTATGGGTCTGCAGTCTTGGTGAGCTGAACTTGAGACTAGATGGGCAGTTATGAGACAGTATAAATTAGATAAATTGTTTCAAAGAAATGTGTTTGGATGGGGGGGCGGGGGCTGATGGCTTCTCCACCTGCCTGGGTGAACAAATCCAGGCTGCTTCTGGCTGGGCTGCTGTAGAACAGTAACCTCCTCAGTGGTGTGCTCCACCCAAGCCTGTGCCTGGGGCATGGAGACCACAGGCAGCTCCTTGCCTTCCCCAGCTGTTGGGGGCGCCAGGTACAGGACAGCAGCCAACACATTACCACACTCACTCCCTTTTGCCCTTGGCAGATCCAATCCAGGACTTGGTTCACTTAGACCAAAGTAGGGAGAGGCTGGACTTACTCATGAAATTATCTAAGACTGGGTTCATGTGTTGGGGTTCTGAAAGTTTTACACATGGTATTCTCAGAGTAGTTTCTGGGGGCCATTTAGTTCCACTGCACCTCACTCAGTGGCCTCTGTCCTGTTTGAAGATGGGCCTGAGGATCAGCCAGAGGCCAAAGAATTACTTGTGTAATTCCTGTCCTTGGTTGGAGCTATGAGCAGCTCCAGCAGAAGCCTCTACTCACTGCAGGCCTCACCGCTGACGCAAGGATCGTCATCAACAGGGCTCGGGTGGAATGCCAGAGCCACCGGCTGACTGTGGAGGACCCCGTCACTGTGGAGTACATCACCCGCTACATCGCCAGTCTGAAGCAGGTGGGCATATGACCTCCTGCCCTCTCACCTGATGTGGAGTATGCATTGTCATATGGCTTATGGGCAGATGGGTAAACTAACTTGTAGTCTAGTTTATCCAGTTCAGTGGCACTGTTCTAATGTCATTCCTTTGTCTGGAGCAATCCTAGTTCTTTTTTCTGGAGGGAAATAGTGTTCATTTTGTCATCCTGAATGACCTTTTGCCAAGCAGGAGGTTAAGAACTACACTCTTCATGATATGCTCATCTTTAAAATGTGTGTGCTTGGGGCTGGGAAGGTGGCTCAGTGGTAGAGCGCTTGCCTTCCATGTATGAGGCCCTGGATTCGATTCCTCAGCACCACATAAGCAAAAAGAAAAAAGCTGGAAGTGGCGCTGTGGCTCAAGTGGTAGAGCGCTAGCCTTAAGCTGAAGGACAGTGCCCAGGCCCAGAGTTCAGGCCCCACGACTGGACCAAAAAAAAAAAGCAATGTGTGTGCTTGTCAAAATAATTTCCACTAGCCATAGCTAAGCTCCTTGGTGCTATTCCAGCCCCACGTGGATCCTGAAAGTGAAAGTGCAGAGAGGAGGGGTATTGGAAGCTATTTATAAACTTCATTCACTTGAATTGTGGTTTACTTGCTGGTGGCCTTAGTGGTTGAAATGTCACATAATTTCTTGTGGTTGACAGCACTGTCTTTATTTTTCCTTCCAGCGTTATACACAGAGCAACGGGCGCAGGCCATTTGGCATCTCTGCACTCATTGTGGGTTTTGATTTTGACGGTACCCCTAGACTCTATCAGACTGACCCCTCAGGCACATACCACGCCTGGAAGGTGAGTGTATGGCCAAGACCAGGAGATTCAGGTGTTTGGGCTGCTTGTGGAGGTGACTTGGGAAATGACAGTTTGTGTGTTCCATCACATTAACTGATGTAAGAGCAAAAAATTGGTTCAACGTTGCTGTTTGGAATATTAAAGGCATAAAGAAATAGAGGACACAGATATGTTTAAATCTCCTAAAGTGTCTCTTGTTGAAGCACCAAGTCCAAAAGAGCTCTCTGCAGTGGGCAGTGGGACATCTTTTCATCTGCTAGAGAAGGAACAGCAGCCTCAAGGAGGGCAGTGTCTGGCTAGCCCGCAGACACTGGCTCTGGGTTGTCTTGCCCAGTGAACATACCTGGGTCATTTTTAGGCCAATGCCATAGGCCGGGGTGCCAAGTCAGTGCGTGAGTTCCTGGAGAAGAACTACACTGATGAAGCCATTGAGACAGATGACCTGACCATCAAGCTGGTGATCAAGGCACTCCTAGAAGTAAGTGCGAGTGAAACCCTACAAGGTGGGCATGTTCTGGGGATTAAACAGGTAGAACGTGAACTCTTCCATCAAGCTGTGAAATCTGCTGCCCTGCTCACCACCCGGCCTTCCAGCAGCTTGCACTAATAAATCAAGGAACTACAACACCTGGGGTTACAGGCCGCTGAAGCCATAGGCCTCACTCACACAGACATGTCTGGGGTGGAGACTTTGGGTCCTGGATTAAAAAGTCTGTACAGGTCATTTCAAGAACAGCTTTGGTTGTAGACACTGAGGTTCAACCTCTAATACCAACAACCAAAAGAAGGAACTTGGATCTTGAGAGTGGAGTGAGTTTATCTAAAGCTGTTTTCCCTTTAAAGGTGGTCCAGTCAGGTGGGAAAAATATTGAACTTGCTGTCATGAGGCGAGATCAGCCCCTCAAGGTAATTACGCTTTTTATAAGGGGGTGGGCAGCACTGGGAGGAGACATTCCACAGAGGTCTAAACTCATACTGTCCTGAATTTGCACCCTAAATGTAATAAGAATCATGGGCATGGACCACAAAGTCTGGCTTTCGCTTTACTTACGGAATTTTCTCAGCTGTCAGTCCATAATCCACAGGGGGCCTTGGCAAAGACCCTTCCCTGGTGCCAAAACCATAGAATGGCCCTGTGACATGGTCTTCTGAAGGGGTAAGCTCCTTCCTTGTAAGGCTATCCTGTGATTTTAGCTCCCTGCAAATACCTGCAAAAATTCCTACTTTCCTTTCTGTGGACCGGTATGGAGCTTGCAGTGTTCACTTGGTGTCCCAAGGCTACCAGCTGCAGCATTGTTAACCAGCCTGGCTTGGTAACATTGCCTCCTTTCCTTGAAGTGTCTCCAAGGTGCTGAATTAGCAACTATGGTTGAAAACTCATTACCTGGCCGCCCTGCCCAAGTGCACAGTGCCTGCCCCTTGGGGGAGTATAGTGTTAACCATGAATGTGTTTTGGATTTTTTTTGGTGGACAGATTCTAAATCCTGAGGAAATTGAAAAATATGTTGCTGAAATTGAAAAAGAAAAAGAAGAAAATGAAAAGAAGAAACAGAAGAAAGCATCATGATAAGACATCCTCACTTGGGCAGCCTTTAAATTCAATCATGGATGATTCTCAGTGACAAGTGGGCATGTCCATCCATCTGCCCTTACTGAGTACCCAATAAACGTCCATATTTTTTAACTTTTTCATGTGAAGAGAACATGTATCTTGTAAGTATAATTATGGTAGCTTTTTGGGAATGATAATCCCCTCCCCGCCTCCTCTCACTTCTCGAATCTGAATGCTTGCTTTCCTTTTTGTCTCTGTACTAGACTCTTAAGTGACTGATGCCAGAGACTCCTGGCACCCAGTGGACTGGAGGCTCTTTGGGGCTTATCAATATAGTAACTACCTTTCATTCAAGTCCCCTAGTGACTGCAAAATGCAAGGGCAGAAGCACAAACAGCACTTGGTGTAAGACTTGACTCAGAATGCTGCTGCAGAGTCACTACTGTGCTCAAAACTAGTTTTGACCCAGACGTGGTATCACAAGCCTGTAACCTCTGCACTCTGGAGGCTGGGGCAATAGGACTGAGCTTGAGGCCTGCCTAGGCCACACAGAACCCTAAGTCAAAGAAAACTAGCTTTCTTTTTTAGGCATCTTGACAATTTTGTTTGTCATGGGGCTTGAACTCTGGGCCTGGGCGCCATCCCTGAGCTCTTCAGCTCAAGGTGAGTGTTCTACCCCTTGAGTCACAGCTCCACTTCTGATTTTCTGGTGGTGAATTGCGAGATTAGTATCCCAGACTTTCCTGCCTGGGCTGGCTTTGAACCTCAATCCTCAGATCTCAGCCTCCTGAGTAGGATTACAGACGTGAGCCACCAGGGCCTTTGTTCTCTCTGGTCAGAAAAAGTCCCTCTTAGGCTTAGTTCTGCAGTATGTTTTAGTCTCTCAGCCTTTTGGATTCTTGGGCTGCTCTTTGCATCTACCCTGCTACACGCCTCAGCTTAGTTTCCCCAGTCTTGGGCTTCCAAAATGTGTAATTATCAAAATGATTGTTAGCTTGAGCCAACAGTAGGTTAGTCACCAGTGGTTTCCAGAGTATATAAATAGTGTTGCAGCTGCCTATATTTACTTTACATACCAAGGAACCCTCCTTAGTATGCTCCCACCTGAACACGAACAAACACATACACACTCCTTCTCCCCCCCGCCCCCCCCCAACTAAGGGCTCTGTTCTGGAGCTGGATAGCCACAGGCTGATACTAGGGGAAATCAAGGCAAGAACTAGGACTTGTCTGTCTTCACCCATGCCAGTTGGGTGATACCTTTTTTTTTTTTGGTAGGTCATGGGGCTTGAACTTGGGACCTGGGCGCTATCCCTGAGCTTTTTTCCTCAAGGCTAGCACTCTACCACTTCTACTTCCAACTTTCTGGTGGTTCATTAATGGACTCTTTCCTGCCCAGGCTGGCTTTGGACCTCAATCCTCTGATCTCAGCCTCCTAAGAAGCTAGGATTATAGGTACTGGCCACCAGTGCCCCACTGGGTCACACCTTTCCAGAGCACCATCTAGAGCCCCCAACCCCCCCCCACACACACCATCACCACGGTCTTGCACATACACATTGTACCTGCCTCTGGGTAGGCCTTGGATATGATTTGGTAGTTTTGGACAGCAAAAGAGAAAGTTTGAAAGCTTTGCTTGTTTATTTATAGTTATAATTTACATTACTCCAACAGAGCAGCCCCAATGCTGTTTTCTAATTCTTAGCCATGAAGTCCTACAAAAATAAACCCAAGTTTTTACAGTAACTTAACACAGAACTAAAGCCTTTATAGCTATTTTGAAGGAGTTACCAAGGTGCTTATTTTCAACAAAATGCCCTGTCAGTCAAAAGGACGCATGCTTATGCTGAAGATCTGACCCATTTACTCATGCAACGAATTTATACTCCCACCCTCCCTCCACCCACCTTTAAAACAAACACACAAGAACTATTTACAATCAAGAGAAAATAAGGTCAGCTGACCTTGCAAAAAAGACTGGCTCATTTCCAAGAGGACAAGAACACTCAAGTGTTCAGCCAGAGCCTGGCAGGGATAGGACAGGAGGGCCACAGGGTGCTCACCCACGTGGCTTGTCCTGGGCTTCAACCCTACGCCTCCATGCCTGGGCAAACCAGGCTCCACACAACACTACATAGCTAACATTCAGGGGTCTTCTCATAACCAAGTCCACCCCCTTCTGCCAGCCCCAACCCTGACGTTACTGGTTCATTACACAACATGATCCATGGGACACCCCCTTTCCCTGCCCACCCGCCCCACATGCCCAGCTCACCCTGTGCTAGCCCTGCCTGTCTCCTGAGACCCCACTTTTGGCAATGGGGATGCCAGGCCAGCAGCACCAGGGGCCAGATGGGTTATAGAGATGCACTTGGCTACAAGTGCCAAGTGAGATTTGGTTCTGTTTTGAAAGTCAAAGCTGTTGTTTAAAAAAAAAAAAAAAAAAAGAAACAGTCACAAAGTGAGGATCACGCCTTCACTATAGAAACCTTTTGCAAATACCAAAACCATAAAATGAGGCTATACACAACCAAAAAGGAAATTAGGTCAAGACACCTCAGAGAGGTTACCCATGAATACTTCCCAAAAACACAAATGGCTCCAATCAGACCATGTCTAAGTGAAGTCCAAAACATAAGTAGCAGTGTGGGATTTTCCAACTGAGTAAACAACGGGACCCACTTCTCCATTAAGTGCATCATTTCCTTATGTCCTTAAATACACAGTGCCACTCCTGTGCCTCTTCAGCAGCAGCCTGCAAAGAGAGGAAAGGAAGCATATCTGCCGTACCTTTTGTTAAAGCAATAGCCCAGGATCACCAGCACTGCTGCCAGGAGGTAATGGGGAGCTCCCCCCTCCATCAAGCTGTGCCCCCCATTTCCCTCACACTAGGAACTGGAAGGCAGCTACTGGCAGGAGGCCCTGGCCCCTCCAGGTCTTCCCTGCACTGCAAAGGGACAATGCCCAGACCCAGGCTGTGCACAAGTCTCCTGGAACCTTTCTAATACCTGTGTGACTCAGAGCCAGAGTGAGCTGAACACTCTTCAAGAATGGTACTAAGCAGCAAGCACAGGTGCTCACCCCAACCCAAGAGACCCAGGTCAGAGCCTGGCTGGATGTTCCTAGAAGCCCCTGGGGTGATTCTGAAGAGCCAAGACTCTTCCGGTCTTGGCACCTCTCCAGCAACTATGCTCTAGGTACGCCAGGCCCAACACTTCCCGCCAAAGGGTCCAGTCAGTCACCACTCACTTAGGCTGTACCCTCACACCCTGCCAGTCCCAGCTCTGTGAGAAGCTGGGGTGCGCCGGGTTGTCCCACTGCCCCTGCCTCCTCGGAATCCACCTCGGGAACTGCGGCCACGAAGGAACCTCCCTGACACTCCAAAGGTCTCTGTGTTGAGCTTCCTCTCTTCAGCCCACGTTGTCCGCCTGGAACTAAATCAAAGAGGTGTATGAGTGGGCAGTATGAGGATGCAGTGGGCACTAACTCAAGTTTCTGAAACGGGATTCATCCTCTGCTCTGGGAAAGAATGAGCAGTTGCTAAGGGGTCTGAAGCCTACATGCAGGGGTGCAAGCCACATTTCAGATAGGCCTGTTTTTCCCTGTGTGGGCTACTTAAGATGCATCCATACCACCAGTGGCAAGGACAGGACTAATGGGGGGCAAAGGAAGCTTTACTAGGTGGCAGGGAAGATGGGTGCTAGGAAGCCCAGATCCCAAGCAGGCCTGAAACTGGAGCAGGACACAGCCCTTCCAGACTCAAGTTCTAGATGGAGGGCCACAGCCAGATAGAGCAAGGTCCACAAGGATATGCATCTGCTTTGGGGGAAGATGGCACCACAGCCCCTGCACTGTAGCTATCCAAACATGCTGCAGACATGATCCTGTATTCAGCTGTGTGCCCAACAACTCCACAGGATGCTCACAGGCAGCCCCTGCCCTGGTGCAGAGCTTTCTGTACTCAGGCTTCTTTGACTTCCGTCCTTCAACTGCCCAGGCTGATATAAGAGCACCATTCTTTCCACAATCAGCAATCTTGGCTTAAAAGATAGGTGATGATGCTGGGCGCCGGTGGCTCACGCCTGTCATCCTAGCTACGCAGGAGGTTGAGATCTGAGGATCGTGGTTCAAAGCCATCCCGGGCAGCAAAGTCTGTGAGACTTTTTTTTTTTTTTTTGGGTCCGGTCGTGGGCCTGTACTCTGGGCCTGGGCGCTGTCCCTCAGCTCTTCAGCTCAAGTCTAGCGGCTCTACCACTTGAGCCACAGCACCACTTCAGTTTTCTGGTAGTCCCTTGGAGATAGTGTCATGGACTTTCTTGCCCAGGTTGGCTTCAAACCGCAATCCTCAGATCTCAGCCCCCTGAGTAGCTAGGATTACAAGTGTGAGCCACTGGGCGCCCGGCTCACCCTACTCTTCAGACCCCTCTTGCCTAGTGATCCAGCCTCTACCTGCCCTCCAGCCCTACTCTACTTCCACCAAGACACCATACAACGTGTTAACTTCTCAATGGCTGTCCACTCGATCAGAACACAGGGAACCACCACTATCACCATGACTTAAAAAGTCCTACTCCAGCCCTCCCCACCTCCACTCAGCCCCACTTGCAGGCAGCCCACACAGCCACCCTACTTCTGGGTCTGCCTCAGCAGCCCTTCTCTGCTTATGTTCTTCCCTACGCATGCTCCCCTGCAGAGCAAAGCATGTGTTGGGTAGCTGGGCTTGTATAGGGTCAGCATGCCTGGTGGTACCCTGCAGGACATGGGGGTCTGGGCTTGCACACCACATCTGCTCTACAGACTGTATGTGGAATCCAAGGTGCTTACACAAAATATTGAAGAGAAACACAGGATGGTCACTGGCCACCAGCACTCCAGAAGAAATATGATCAGAATGCTCTACTAGGTACCTCAAGTGGCAAGGTTCTCAGGCCACACAAGCCAGCAGGATTGGCAGGAAAGCTGGGCAAGAGCACTGCATGGGAGGCCCGGCAGGGAGTGCAGGGACAGCGAGTCTTTGTTGGTGACTGCCGGAGGCTTCCCATGCTACATGCATCTCACAAGGCAGAACTCTTCTATTACACAAAAAGGTAGGATCCTAAAACACAGCCAGACACCAATGGCTCAGGCCTGTAATTCTGTC